GCATATTCCCGACCCAGATGCGCCAAAACGAATGATCCAAGATATGCTGGATGGTCCAATACGAGTAAAGGAGAGATGCATCCGGAAAATACAAAATCAACCAACTCCCCAACTTAGAGTTCTATGGTGGAAGAACAATAAGACATAAGGAAAATGGGAAGATGAGGATAAATTTCAAGAGCGATACCCCGAGTTTTTCAAGGAAACACTAGCAGTAAACGAAGCAGGACCCTCTAGGTCGTAAAAGAATTCGGGACGAATTCTAATAAGGAAAGGAGAATGTTATACCACTGCTAGTGCCTAGATCGGAACAGACAGACCGCAGACCTACTCCTTCAAGTATGCAGCCTTAGTGAGACTCGACTTGGGAAGGACTAAGGAAATCCTAAGAGGAGTTTTGATCTAAGCAAATCCAAATTCCATCGGAAAAATGAGATCGGGAATGAAAAATAGATGGTGGGTTGAATTGGTCCGTGCTGCGGGTAAAGGACGCATGGTTGATCGAGGTGGGACACCGCGGGACGTATGCGGGTAAGTCGATGGAGCCAAATGGCTCCCATCGCTCCACGTCGTAGGTTGGTAGGACAAGGGGTTGTCATTGCTCCACGACCTAGGTCGGTCGGGCGACTGGACTGTAGCGCACCACGTCGCCGGAATTAACGTCGCGATTTGGATGGTGCGACGTGGTCCTCCGCGAGACATTCTTTGCCCCCGACTGCCCCTATAAATAGGACCCCGCACCCTTAGCATTAAGCATTCAAAATTCCTTTCCCTTAGTACGTATACTTGTCTAAAATCGATCCTAGTTTTCTTTCGAGCATAAGCGGATCAGTCAAATCCTAAGTCTCAGGTTCGATCAAGTCCAGGCAGAAGGATCAGATTTCGTGGAACCATTTTCTAAGGAAACCCTCTGTTAAACTGTGAGTCTCGGTATAATGCGTTATGTTTATTCTAAAATAGTCTAAAATATTGTTCTATAGTATAGTCATGAGGTTCTCATCATCGTTCCCCAAGTATGATTATATGTTGAACTTGGTTGTCGAATGTTGGCACTATACTTGTGTTGGTATCTGCCTACGTGAATGGTAGATACTTGGGTGGTAAGTACTGTGTGATTGGTTATTAGCATGTCTCCGGATAGAGTCATGCATGGTAATAACTTGTTAAACGCGGTCCTAAGTTTTACGAAGAAGACGTGCCGAGGTCACGCCATGGTAGTATGTGGGTCGCACCCATAGGCCGTGATACACGATGGGGCTCAGTCGTGTATAGAGTTCGTGTGGGTGTTCCGCAGAACTCGGGATGTTGGTAGACTACGTGTCTTACATTCCATTAATGCCGGAACATGGATTCGCAAGGCCTTAAATGAAAAGGATTCATGCATGCATATTGTTGATTGTTGAATGCTTTCGTGTATTCATTCTTGTGTGTGATTGTCATTGGGTTTTGGATGGGAACGCTAAACCGTTAGA